TGCTTCTCCCTCTCCCTCTGCCCCCCTCAAATAAATAAACTTAAAAAAAATACTTATAAACTTATAATTTTTATTAAAAGGTCTGTCAATAGAAGTACTTAAATATATCCATTTGATCCTCATTATATACAGATTGTGTATTTGTGAATTCACCTACTTGCTGAAATTTATTTATAGCCTCAAAATATACTCACAGTGCTTTTATGATCATTTGTAACATGTGCAGAGCAGTGAAAAATTTGAGTAGCCTGATACATTCCTAGATGAGATTGAACAAGACCAGTGCTCTGCCTTCTTGTTTCAGCACTCATTCTGTAAACAGGTATCCTTTTGACATGTATTTAGTGGTAGCCTTTTGGCATTTTGCACTTTTTGTTAGTGATTTTGCTATTAAAAATCACCCCAAGTGTATTGCTGAAATGGTATCTAATGTTCCAAAGTGCAAGAAAGCTATGCTATGCCTTGTAGAGAAAATACATGTAAGCTCACTCAGGCATGAGTCATAGTGCTATTGGCTGTGAATTCAGTGTTAATGAATCAGTAGTATATTAAATAAGGTGTCTTTAAACAGAAACCCACATAAAACAAGGTTATGTATTGAAGGGCTGACAAAAATGTTGATGAGAGATTCACAGGAACCTAACCATGTATTCTCCCTAGGAACAGTGATTCATTGTTCACTAATTCATTGTTTGCATCAGCTTTATAGAACATCACTGCAAATAATGAGAATCCGTCATACTTAATTTTAAAATTAATTTATTAAAAATTAGCAATTATATAATTTTTAAAGTATGTGATTATCTGAGACCAGATGATTAATGATTTGGGGGTAGTTGAGAAGAGGAAGGAAATGATTCACATGCATGCAGAAGCCATGAAACCTAGAGAAACAGGAAGCATGTTTAGTTAGGAGCCATCTGGCAAAGATGCGGTTCTTGGATTCTCACTCAGACTTTGTGCATATCAAAGAAAACTAAATCACGTCCACAGTTCCCTTCCAACTAAAGGAGTCTTTTATTCTTTAGGGTCAGTCAGGAAAAATAAAGGGTCAGATGACTAAAAATTCTTGCTTACCACTGAAAATTAGGGAATAATCATTAGGGGAGAAGAAAGCCCTATTAGTTCTAGATTGCTGATGACAACATAGAGTTGTATATAATGAGAAGCACTATTGCAGAATTAATTTCTTTGCCTTCTTTGCATTTGATACACTCTGAGGTCAGAGTACATAGCCTTAAACACCAAATTCTAAAGCTAATGTCCTCAGTGGACCACTATACTAATGTTAGTGAACTGGCTCTGACCTATGACACATGGACTTGTAGTAGTTACAAATATGCTTAAGAAACTCATGGAAAACGAATTGATCATTTCATTCATTCATGTATACAGTGTTTCTTGTAATCAGAAAGTATATTTACATGGTTAAGAAACAAACTAAACATGCCCAGAAATCTAATAATGAAAAAGAAATGAACTCTAGCCTATCTCTTCTAGTATCCCATTCTTACTTCCCAAGAACATTGTTTTTAACTCTTACCTCTTTCTTTTGTTATTTATCTCCACATTATTAAGCAGTATACTTAATGCAGCTATTTCTTGATTTATCAATTTTGGAGCATACTTATTTCCTGCCATGACTTTATACCTGCCCATTGGTCATTTAGCTTCGCTATAGCTCTGGCAGTGGCTTGTCTTCCAGTTCTGGTAAATTTTCTATTTTATCTATTTTCCTCTGTCTTCCCTCTCTTGAATTTTTTTTGTTAGTAATTGGCATTCCTTGACTGATCTTTTATATCTCTTTCATGTTTCCCTTTTTCTGAATGTATTATTTACTGTTTTCTCTGGAGTCCTTTTCTGTAAGTGTGTGTGTGTTTCCGTTTTTCTGTTTGTGTCCCTCTGTCCTTGGAGGCTTTCCCTTTGTATCAATATTGTGGTTGCCTGTCCATAGTTAAGAGCAAGGTACTAAAATACAGGTTGCGAGTTCTGCGCATAATTAGGTACAAACTGGAGAACTTCACTTTAGGGCGGTGTTTCTCAACCTGTTTTCATTATCACTTCCTGAAGGGGTATATTTAACACATTTTTTTCTCCTAATTGTGGTCCCTTCTTCCCATGATATTTTAATGCCACAAGATTTACTGTATATGTTTATATACTGTGAAAGATTCAAATATCAGGAAGGGTTTGGGCAATGTTACTTCTCTGGATTACTCAGTTGCTACGTCTGTTATTCTGTCTGTAGTCATTCTTTGGGAAAAAAGGTTATAGAAAGAGGTCACCAACCATTTACAGACCTTGAATTAATCTACCAGTTTATAGTCCTATATAACTCCTGCCCTCAGCTTTACTAGAAACTTGTGAGTCCTGAGCCTCTTCTTGTGTCAGTGGAGCAGATTAGCTCCTTTATGTACACATCCCCTTCTTTGAGCGCTATAAACCAATATGTTCATCTCCCTTCACTTAACATTCCTCTCTTATGTTTTGGGTTGCACAATTTTATTAAATCTGTAACTAGAATTTTAAGATTACTCTCCATTTTTATTTGTTATAGTAGTTTTATCTGTTTTCAAATCCTTAACTGATATTCAGTTGAGACATCAGAACTGAAAGGAGATAAACACTGGTGTTTGCTTTTCCATCTTATCTGGACATCCTTAATAGGCTTTAGCATTTAGCATTTTCACATATTCCTAGTTGATACTTGAATCATATTTTTCTCTATAAAATACCTTGAACTCTTTCCATTTATTTCTTTCTTTTAAAGTTCTCAGCCATGATATTATGCCCTACCAAGAACTCATAATGTGACCTGTGTTTATCACTTTTATCAATTATATTATCTCATCTTCATACTGGGTCAAGATTCAATAAAACTTGTATAGGCAAGAGAATTCTTTTCTTTTTTTGGATTCTAGGTGTTAGAGAATTATGCTGAAGTAGGTATTAGAGCTTGTAAAGATCTCAGAGAACTTTCTAGAGCTGTACTTTCTAATATAGTAGCCATTAGCCACATGTGGATGCTTAAATAAAATTTAAAATTCAGTTCATCAAACTGACCACATTTCATGTTCAGTAACCATATATGGTTAGTGGCTGCCATCTTGGATATCATAGATACAGAGCATTCCCATCTTTGCCAAAAGTTCTATCATATAGTACTGTTCTAGAGAATAGAAAGTACAGCACCATTCTGTATCTTCCAAGAGATCAGCTAGTTTCTTAAGCCTCAACTTTGTAGGAGTTTCTTAATCTAGTGAGCGTATAGGACTTGGCTGAATAGATATTAATGTAGAAGGAAAATGATTGATACTTAAAGATGTCCATGAAGCTTTCAGGAGAAAGTGCAAGTCATGGGACTAGCTGTTGTCTAAATGCAAGAGACAGCAGCCAGAAAAGCATCATCATAATTGTGCAATAATGCTCTCTTGTGCTGATTCAAGGAAAAGCTTCAGGAGGTTGAGAGTCGTAAAATAGTGTATGCAGATATAGTGTCCTCATCATCCTTCAGAATTTTACTAAAGGGTTTCAGCATGGCAACAAAATGATGCTGATAAACTATTGTTTTGAGTGGGTATATGGATAAGCTATTATCCAATTCAGAATATTTTTCTTTTGTAGGTTGTTGATAATTTGCATTATATTTAAGTATGGCATATACCTTAGAAATGTAGAGCAGGAAGGACTTTAGAAATTATCCAGTCCTATGCTCTCATTCTACAGGTGTAGGAAACTGATGCTTTAAAATAGGGAAGTAATTTACCTGAGGGGACACAGTCACTGGGGCTAGAGCCAGCCCCAGAACCAACATATTTTGAGTTCATGTGTAGAACATTTCCTGTGGTACTATGCTGGTGACAAAGAAGGAATGACTTGATTCATTGTGGCCTCTTGAAAGCTTTAATAATCTACCTGTGAGGCCCAAACTGGTAACATAAACTTTTAAGAGTATGTAATTTTGGGAACTGTGAATTTCATAATGTGTTTTCCTCTTTTTAGAACAACAATTTGTAATCTTTATACAATGCCACGAATTGGAGAGCCTGTCTGGCTTACAATGATGTCGGGGACTCCAGAAAAGAACCAGCTTTGCCATCGTTTCATGAAGGAGTTCACTTTTCTAATGGAAAATGCTTCCAAAAATCAGTATGGCTTTCTCTCTTTGTCTCTCTTTATATCTTAGATATTATTTAGTATAACTTGATATTTAGATTGTGATCAAATCTAGTTACAAAACTGAAATAATTAACTGGGTTTTTAGGAATTATTTCTTATTATTAATAACCAAAACAATTCTAAAAGATAATTAAGAGATGGGATATGGATGAAGGCCACAGAAAACAGTAAAATGAATGAAATGAATAAAAAACAGTAAAAAGGTCTTTAATTATGTGTTAAATTAAAATTCCTGACAACTTACAGAACTCTCTGAGGCTTCCCATTTTTTGGTGAATTGCATCCACTTACACAGTTTCATTCTATAGAAAATAAGTAAAAAAAAATGAAGTGCCAGGATTCCAGTGATACATATTTAATGTATATTTTATCATACTGTTTGCTTGTAACCATTCATCAAATTCCTAGAAGCCATCTTTTTGATGGTAGGCAAAGTTTGCTTAATACTTTCCTTCATTTTCCCATTCAGTAATTTGGAAATGTACAGTCCTGTTGGTTGATTCATTATAAACACTGAAAATAAACCAGTTTTTCAAGTAAAATGGCATTTTTGCTTTGTAATTATGATCAGATACAGCTCTGTGTGAATACTGTTTTTTATTTTAAGGATTTTTTTTTAACTCCTACCCATCCAAAAACTTTATTCTCATTTTCGTCCAGGTGACATGCCTGTCTTTTCTTCTTTCCTCTCCTTTTTTTATGCTGTTTGGCCACATGAGAGTATGTACTCTCTCTGCTTTATTATGTCACGGCATTTTACATTAGGTTTAATGAAGGCAGAATGGAGTCTGATAGGATGTGTTTTGTTTTCAGATTCTTACCAGCACTCATCACTGCAGTTCTGACCAATCATCTTGCCTGGGTTCCAACGGTCATGCCAAATGGACAACCACCTATAAAAATATTTTTAGAAAAACATTCCTCTCAGAGTGTGGACATGTTGGCAAAAACTCATCCATATAACCCACTTTGGGCACAACTAGGTATGTAGTCTGAAAACTCTTACATGATGCATAACACTTAAACTTTTGTGTAGCTGTCTGGGGTTATTTTATAGCAAAAACAAAAATTAAGAAACAAGATGTTCTCTTTTACCTCCTCCATTCTAAAGCACTTTTTCTTTCCTTGTCCTTTTCATGTCTGCGAAACCATCTCCATCTTTGGTCTAATATCAATTTCTTCTAGATACACAACTGCAGTGAGAGCTAGAGAAGCAGGATCATGACTGATTTACTCATAACGTCAGGGTCTTTAGGGAGTTTTAGGTTAATGTACTTTGCCTAGAAAGAATGAATCACAGTCATCTATGATAGCTAGAATAAATTTGGTTAACTGAGAAGCAGTCATTGAGATTTCTGTTTTCCACTTTTGCTTGTTTGTTGAGTAATTTTGGAAAATGTTTCCCTTATTGTGAGGCCCCGTTAAATAAATGGGTAACCCAGGAGAGAAGGGATGGTTGATGAGTTGACAGTCATTAGGAAGGTATTGTAGCATGGTGCTTAAAAGTACAGGATGTGAGTCACACAGACCACATGTGAGTCACAGTCTCTTTGTTTATAATTTGGGGATAATATGTAGTACATACTTCATAAGGTTACGACAAATTAGAGAATACCTGTAAAGTGCTTAAGAACAGTGTCTGGTAAACGTGACTGCTGTTACTGCTTCTCTTACTATTAGGTCGTGGGGGAGGAGTCCAATGAGAACATTTTGATGACTTGATAGAAACTTCTCTTAGGTTGTGCTGATGAGTGAGCTTGCCAGGCAGGTTGTCATGTAGCTTATTCATGTAACTTCCCTCCCTTTCTCTTTCTTCCCTCCCTCCATCCCTCCTTTACTTTCTTCTACTTAATTGAGGAATAATTGACACATAGCAAACACATATATATACAATTTTGTAAGTATTGATATTTATGTCAAAATATAAACACCTCTGAAACCATCACCAAAATCAAGATGGCAAACATACTCATCACTTCGAAAAGTTTCCTCATGCCCTTTTGTAATCCCTCCTTCCTGTTTCTCCCCACTCTCCCTGTTCACCTTCCACCCCTCACCCCATACCCAGGCAGCTACTGGTCTGCTTTCTATCACTATAGATTAGTTTGAATTTTCTAGATATAAATGGAATCATACAGTACATGCTTTTTTTGGTTGTTCTGACTTTTTTCATTCAACATAATTATTTTGAGATTTGCCTATGTTGTTTAAGTACTAGTCAATGCCTTTATTATGCTGGGTAGTATACCGTTGTATGGGTATTAACTTAGTTTTTTTCAAATCAAGTAATTCAGTAGCATTTTATTTTTTTGGACATTTCAAATTTATTTTCAATTCTGTAATCATATATTGAGTGCATAATATATATAAGGCCCTATGCAAAGAGCATTGGAGCATATAAAGATGAAATGCAGTTCTTAGCCTCAAGAAGTGGACAGTTTAGGGTGCTTGGGTGGCTTAGTTAGTTAAGTGACTGTCTTCGGCTCAGATCATAATCCTGGAGTCCCGGGATCAAGTCCTGTGTCGGGCTCCCTGCTCGGGGGGAGTGTGCTTCTCCCTCTGACCTTCCCCCCTTCTCGTGCTCTCTCTCTCTCTTCTCATTCTGTCTCTCAAATAAATGAAATCTTTAAAAAAAATGGACAATTTAGGGGCTCCTGGGTGGCTCAGTAGGTTAAGTGTCTGCCTTTGGCTCAGGTCATGATCTCGGGGTCCTGGGATAGAGCCCCTCTTTGGGCTCCCTGCTCAGTGGGGAGTCTGCTTCTCCCTCTCCTTCTGCCCCGCCCCCCTGTGCATGCATGCTTGTGCGCTCTCTGTCTCTCAAATAAATACAATCTTAAAATAAGTGGACAGTTTATTACTGAAGGTAATAAATATGAGGACAATAATGATAATTCAAAGAGGAATTATAAAAGAAATGAAAAGTTCAGTGAAATTTCAGTTAGGGAAGCTTACTTTTGCCCAAGGGAGGATGCTTGGGTGGGAAGCTTTGGACTGGCAGAGAAACAGAGGAAAGGGCAAGCGCATAGCATGAGGAAAGGGGTCTAGGTGTTAAGAGTGCTGAGTTGATTCAGTGTTCCGGTTTAAGTAGTCTTCTTTAAGTGGGACTTAGTGCGAATAATGATGAAAAAGTGTAACTATAAGAAGATAAACCTGGAAAAGTAAAGTGGAACCGGTCAGGAAAGACTCACTTGCCATGTCAAAGCAGTTCAGTTTATTTGGTAATTCATGAGAACCTTAGGAGTAGTTTTGGACAGTGGCATGTGATGGCATTAGAGCCAGTGTATTAATTAGAGGAGAAAAATTGTCATAGTGCTGTCTATAGCATATATTTATCTGAGACCTATTTGTTCCCTTAAAAAGTGTGGGAGTTAGGCTTTAAAGTGTGTATACAGATAACTTGCTAAAATTGAATTATATTTAAATTAATGACTTTGTATTCTCTATTTTTAAGTGTGCTTTGGCACCTTTTTCTGCATCTAATTTGAGTATAGCATAAATACAGAAATTACATTGATAACTCTTAGGTTCCCATTGCCCTTTTCTTATGTTGGCGTCTAGTGTGGATACAAAAGTGAAAATGAACCACATGGCTGAATGTGTTGCCCCTTCTTTTCCTCTTGGGATAGGTCTCACTCTTCTTGTCCTTTCTGGTCTTTTCTGAGTACCCAATCCCCTAAGAAATAGAAGGGCTTTTAAAAACATGGGAACTAGGTTGGGGTCCTAGGTAGGGCAGTAACAGTTAAGGTTCACAGATGTGATTTAATCAAGAAAGGTTAAGTGTGTGATGTGACTACTCCAGTTCTGCTCCACGTTCTACCACTACTCCCTTTTCTCCTTGCCCCCCAGTAGATACTGTGCTTTCTCTCCTCTGCATTAGATGCAGCTATAGAATCCTTTCGCATATAGTTCTTTAGGTAGTACTTCTCTGCCCCAGTGAAGTGCTCTGCATGAGGCCTGGCACAGAGAATACTCTTGGTCGGTGTGACTTTCACAATTAACTCTTTGGTTGAGGTTTCAGAACCATAGGAGCTCCTTAAAGAGGAAACTAGAAGACCCCTCTATTCACCTTTCTCTTTGGTAAATACCATTTATCTCATCCTATCCTCCTGAATAGTCACTCACCTATTAAAGAACTAGAGTAAAAGCTGAACTAACCTTCATACAATAAGAGTAGATATCTGATCATTGGAAATAGCCCGCTTGGCTATGTGAGGAGAGGATGTGTTCATTAACTGATTCTTCCATTGCAGGGGACTTGTATGGCGCTATTGGTTCTCCTGTACGGTTAGCGAGGACTGTGGTGGTTGGCAAACGACAAGACATGGTCCAGAGGCTGCTTTATTTTCTTACTTATTTTATAAGATGCTCTGAACTTCAAGAAACCCATCTTTTAGAAAATGGAGAAGATGAAGCCATTGTTATGCCAGGCACAGTAATTACTACCACTTTAGAGAAAGGTGAAATAGAAGAATCTGAGTATGTGCTTATCACAGTGCATAGAAACAAAAGCAGTTTGCTCTTTAAAGACCCAGAAGAAACAAGGACTCCTAATTGTAGCTGTAAATATTGCAGTCGTCCACTCCTTGGGCAAAATATAGAGAATGTTTCACAACAAGAGAGAGAAGATATTCAAAACAGCTCTAAGGAGCTGCTAGGAATTTCAGATGAGTGTCAAATGATTTCTCCCTCTGACTGCCAAGAAGAAAATGCTGTTGATGTTAAACAGTTCAGAGATAAATTAAGAACTTGCCTTGACACCAAGTTAGAGACCGTTGTTTGCACAGGATCTGCTCCAGTAGACAAATGTGCCTTGTCAAAATCAGGCTTAGAGCCAGCAGAGGAAACATGGCATAATGAGGAATTGCTGGGTTCAGGTAATCACACAGGCAAAGTGTTGAGATCCACAGGAATGGTTGTGGAAAAAAAACCTCCAGATAAGCTTTTGACTGCTGCATTTTCTTGTGAAGCATCACAGACAAAGGTTACCTTCTTGATTGGAGATTCTATGTCCCCTGACTCAGATACTGAACTCAGGAGTCAGGCAGTGGTGGATCAGATTACCAGGCACCACACCAAACCACTGAAGGAAGAAGGAGGGGCTATTGATCAGCAGCATCAAGAAACTAAACAAACAACTAAGGACCAATGCGGCGAGTCTGATATACCAAACATGGTTTCTGGAGAAACCTGTGAACCTCCCTGTTGGAATCATTCAGACCCAGAAAGCATGAGCTTATTTGATGAATATTTTAATGATGATTCAATTGAAACCAGGACTATTGATGATATTATTGCAGTTAAAACAAGTACAGACAGTAAAGAACATTGCTGTATGTTAGAATTTTCAAAAGGATTGTGTACAAAAAATAGCAAACAGAACAGTGAATTTTGTAAATGTGTAGAAACAGTTCACCAGGATTCATGTAAAACCTGCTTTCCTCAGCAGGACCAAAGAGATGCACTCTCCATTCTTGTCCCCCATGGGGATAAAGAGAGTTCAGAGAAAAAAATTGCTGTAGGAACTGAATGGGACATTCCACGAAATGAAAGTTCAGATAGTGCCCTTGGGGACAGTGAAAGTGAAGATACAGGTCATGATATGACTAGACAAGTAAGCAGTTACTATGGAGGAGAGCAAGAAGATTGGGCAGAAGAAGATGAGATACCTTTTCCTGGGTAAGTAGGAAGTTTTTAACCTATAATAGACCCTATATAAATATGTACCATTCTTCTGTTTAGATGGTCTCTGAAGGTTGGTGGTAACTAATGTAAAAGAAGAGATCATTGTCCTGGACAGATTCTCTTCTATTGCTGTGTGGTTTTAAGGAAAGATTAAAGGCTGAGCCCCATAGGTACCCCAGAAACGTTCTGTGAAGGTATTAAAGAAAAGCAT